CATGCTGTGATTTCAAAGAATTGCTTATTTTTCTCACTTAGAAGATGCAGATATCACTTAATTTTCATCTCTTAGAATATGAATACATCTGTTGTACACCCTTACCTATGCCTAGGCGAACGCCTTACTTTGTCTTTACTCTTTATGCATCATCTGGCGTCGCACTGCAAAACTTTATGTAGTTAAGGTCTTCGATTCTACCTTAATCGTAAAATGTTTCCCTTGTACTTGTGAGGTTATAAAAAGTAACATGAATGATTTGCTTTTGTCGAAGAATGACTATGATGATTGAACGTCTGCAATTTGTTTGTCTGCAGGTGGAGATATACAGCCGTTGTTATGAGAAACAACCTTTGGTTATCCAAGGTGCTGGAGCAGGAAATGATACCACAGCAGCTGGTGTCCTAGCTGATATCCTTGACATTCAAGATTTATTCCCTTAACTGAGTATTATACACTGAGATACAAACATCTGATCCTCAAAGGACGAAAAATCGACTCTTCTTGTCCATCTGCTTTCAGATTGGAGATTGAAATCAGGCTCAGAAAACATATTCATTTTTTGAGAATTTTCTCGATACACAAGAGTGCCTCTTCAGTTCACAGTAGATTATTATGCAATGTCTCTCGTGCATAACGACTCAAATGGAACAGAGCAAACAGAGTCATTTGCCTCAGTGCTGGACTAGTTTTTAGGATTTCACTTCAGCTTATAATCAGTTTGCTTTGTAATGACCATTCGTTACCTCAACTTTTTATGTCATCACAATTTTAGAGACTTATCTCGTAGTTATTACGCTTTTCAAGTTTGGTATTCGGTATGGTATTTGATATTTATAAAAAATAATCGAAATACTTTTTTCTTTAGACAAAGAAAGTGACTTTCTGAGGTAACAACTATTAGTTGAGTGCACATAGGAAAGATATTTTCTTTAGACAATGCAAGGTATAGTTATAATCCAGTATTTCAATCTAATCTATCAGCTTCTAACATTACATATATAGTGTATTATAGTAAATTTTTCCAAAGTTGTCACCTATGTTGCTAAGACCCTTCAAAGGTATTACCGGATTTGTGTTGGATCTTTAAAAAATGCAAAGCTTTTGGAGTATCGGATACATACCCAAAGATGTTTTTAAAGAATCCAAGCAACATAGGTAACTTTTACTATGAAGGCATTTTTCCTAATGTTTTCTATTTTTTGAAGAATCGATTTAGCTTTGGTATTATATCCAGAATTCATTTACACTCTATAAGTAAACTGTAAATTATCAACAAACATAGATTAAAATTTCAAAACAAAAATTGTTCCATTTTATACGATATTTCTTTAGAAAACGTTGTGATAGAACACCACAATATTCTTTGGAGTGCCCCACCCTAAGTACCTTTCCTCTCTTGCTTCAATTATTGAATTCCAGACGGGCAGACTCCATAATTTTTTGCTACTCTATTTTTTCTGTGGCTGTGAGCTGCAGACTGTAGATAAAACATAGTTATACCAATTACAAGCAAAAGAGAGGGAGAAAGATCATTCTTGATTACATATCACTCTTAGTTCTTAGCATTCAACAGGTAAAATAAAGTTGTTAGTAATTGAAATTTGAACATTTATCTTCTTAAAATCATTTTGTGTTCCTTGTTTTGCTTGCAGATTTCAGAAATGGAGATTGGGTTAGCAGTTGGTGGTGCATTTCTCTCTTCAGCTTTGAATGTTCTCTTTGATAGGCTTGCTCCTCACGGTGATCTTCTCAACATGTTTCGGAAGCATAAGGATCATGTTCAGCTCTTACACAAGCTGGAGGACATTTTGCTTGGTCTTCAGATTGTGCTAAGTGATGCAGAGAATAAGCAAGCATCAAATCGACACGTGAGCCAGTGGTTCAATAAGCTTCAAAATGCTGTGGACGGCGCTGAAAACTTGATAGAAGAAGTCAATTATGAAGCTTTGAGGCTTAAGGTGGAAGGCCAGCATCAAAATCTTGCAGAAACAAGCAACAAACAAGTAAGTGACCTCAACCTGTGCTTGACTGATGAATTTTTCCTTAACACAAAGGAGAAGTTGGAAGAAACCATTGAAACATTGGAGGTGTTGGAAAAGCAAATCGGTCGCCTTGGCTTAAAGGAGCATTTTGGTTCGACTAAACAAGAAACTAGAACACCTTCAACTTCTTTGGTTGATGATTCTGATATCTTTGGAAGGATGAATGATATAAAGGATTTGATTGACCGGTTATTATCTGAAGATGCAAGTGGAAAGAAGCTGACTGTAGTTCCTATTGTTGGAATGGGCGGCCTGGGTAAGACAACACTTGCTAAAGCGGTTTACAATGATGAGAGAGTGCAGAAACATTTTGTTTTGAAAGCTTGGTTTTGTGTTTCTGAGGCATATGATGCTTTCAGAATAACAAAAGGGTTACTTCAAGAAATTGGCTCAACTGACTTGAAGGTTGATGACAATCTTAACCAGCTACAAGTCAAATTAAAGGAAAGATTAAAGGGAAAGAAGTTTCTTCTTGTTCTGGACGATGTGTGGAATGACAACTACAACGCGTGGGATGACTTGAGAAATGTTTTTGTACAAGGAGATATAGGAAGTAAGATCATTGTGACGACACGTAAAGAGAGTGTTGCCTTGATAATGGGAAATGAGCAAATTAGCATGGACAATTTGTCTACTGAAGCCTCTTGGTCTTTATTTAAAAGACATGCATTTGAAAACATGGATCCTATGGGACATCCGGAACTTGAAGAGGTCGGAAAACAAATTGCAGCTAAGTGCAAAGGACTGCCCTTAGCTCTGAAGACGCTCGCTGGCATGTTACGCTCCAAATCAGAGGTTGAAGAGTGGAAACGTATTTTGAGAAGTGAAATATGGGAGCTGCCACACAATGACGTATTACCAGCGTTGATGTTGAGCTACAATGATCTTCCTGCACATTTAAAGCGATTTTTTTCCTATTTTGCAATATTTCCTAAAGATTATCCATTTGGGAAAGAACAAGTCATTCATCTGTGGATTGCCAATGGTCTCGTACCTCAGGAAGATGAAATAATTGAAGATTCAGGCAACCAATACTTTCTCGAGTTGAGGTCAAGATCATTATTCGAAAGGGTCCCCAATCCTTCTGAAGGGAACATAGAGAATTTATTCTTAATGCATGACCTTGTCAATGATTTAGCCCAAATTGCATCTTCAAAACTTTGTATCAGGTTGGAAGAGAGCAAAGGATCTCATATGTTGGACAAAAGTCGGCACTTATCTTATTCAATGGGATATGATGGTGAGTTTGAGAAATTGACACCCCTCTACAAATTGGAGCAGCTGAGGACATTGCTTCCGACATGTATTAGTGTCAATAATTGTTATCACCCTCTAAGCAAGAGGGTGCAGCTTAACATACTGCCTAGACTAAGATCCTTGAGGGTACTATCATTGTCTCATTACAAGAATAAGGAGTTGCCAAATGACTTGTTTATCAAATTAAAGCTCCTCAGATTTTTGGATGTTTCTCAGACAGAGATTAAAAGGTTGCCAGATTCCATTTGTGTGTTGTATAACTTAGAGACACTTCTTCTGTCATCTTGTGAAGATCTTAAGGAGCTACCGCTGCAGATGGAGAAGTTGATTAACTTGCGTCATCTTGACATAAGCAACACTTGGCGCTTGAAGACGCCCCTACATCTGAGCAAGTTGAAAAGCCTCCAAGTGTTAGTGGGAGCCAAGTTTCTTCTAAGTGGTTGGAGAATGGAAGATTTGGGTGAAGCACGGATCTGTATCAGTTGTAGAGTTGCAAAATGTGGTTGATGGTAGGGAAGCTGTGAAGGCAAAGATGAGGGAGAAGAATCATGTTGACAAGTTATCATTGGAGTGGAGTGAAAGTAGTAGTGCCGACAATTCAAAAACTGAAAGAGACATTCTTGATGAGCTACGCCCACATAAAAACATAAAAGAAGTCGAAATCACTGGATATAGAGGGACAATATTTCCGAATTGGCTAGCTGATCCTTTGTTCTTAAGCTAGGACAGTTGTCTATTGATAACTGCAAGAACTGTTTTTCCTTGCCAGCACTAGGACAGCTTCCTTGTTTGAAAATCCTTTCCATTAGAGGGATGCATGGAATAACAGAGGTGACAGAAGAATTCTATGGTTGTTTGTCGTCCAAAAAGCCTTTTAACTGTCTTGAGAACCTTGTATTTGAAGATATGGCGGAGTGGAAGCAATGGCACGTACTAGGAAGTGGAGAGTTCCCTATACTTGAGCAGCTTAAAATTAAAAATTGCCCTGAACTCAGTTTGGAGACACCCATCCAACTTTCATGTTTAAAAAGGTTTAAAGTTGTTGGTTCATCTAAGGTTGGAGTTGTTTTCGATGATGCTCAACTGTTTAGATCCCAACTTGAGGGAATGAGGCAGATTGAGGAATTGTATATTAGGGATTGTAACTCTGTTACCTCCTTTCCTTTTAGCATACTGCCCACTACCTTGAAGACAATAAGGATATCTCGTTGCAAGAAATTGAAATTGGAGGTGCCAGTTGGTGAGATGAGTTATTGTAACATGTTTATTGAGGATTTGACACTGAAAGAATGTGATTGTATAGATGATATATCACCTGAGTTTCTCCCAACAGCACGCACGTTGAATGTATCTAATTGCCACAACCTTACTAGGTTTTTGATTCCTACTGCCACTGAAAGTCTCCATATTTGGAATTGTGAGAATGTTGAAATACTTTCGGTGGCATGTGGGGAGACCCAGATGACGTCACTGAGTATTCAGGGCTGTAGGAAGCTGAAGTGGCTGCCAGAACGTATGCAGGAACTCCTTCCATCTCTTAAGGAACTGTATCTGTATAATTGTCCAGAAATGGAGTCCTTTCCTGAAGGAGGATTACCCTTCAATTTACAATTCCTTGTGATCAGCGCGTGCAAGAAACTGGTGAACGGCCGAAAGGAGTGGCATTTACAGAGACTCCCCTGTCTCACACAGTTAAGCATCTACCATGATGGCAGTGACGAAGAGATTGTTGATGGTGAGAATTGGGAGTTGCCTTCCTCTATTCAAACACTTACAATAAACAATGTGAAAACATTAAGCAGCCAACATCTCAAAAGCCTCACCTCTCTTTCTGAGCTAGAATTATATGACCATCATGAGCTCCATTCACTAGGTCTTTGGCACCTCACTTCGCTTCAAAGTCTAGAAATCAGGAATTTCCCTAATCTCCAATCACTTCCTGAATCAGCACTGCCCTCCTCCCTCTCTCAGCTGATCATCATGCATTGCCCTAATCTCCAATCCCTTCCAGTAAAAGGGATGCCCTCTTCCCTCTCTGACCTATCTATTTCCAACTGCCCATTGCTCAAACCACTACTAAAATTTGACAAGGGGGAATACTGGCCAAATATTGTTCAATTTCCCACCATAAAGATCGATGGGGAATGCATGTGATAATTAAAATGGATGGCTCTTCAACTGATGTAAGCTATTCTTTTCCCTTGGAAGCTTTTTATTTCCGTCTACTTCACTTTGCTTTTTTGTTAATTATTTTCATTTTTAATCACTAGTTCTAAAAACATGCGTTGCACGTTTATCCCAAAATATTTCATATAATTTTTGTATTGCAAATGACATATTTTATCCCCTTCAAATCTATTGGTGTTCACTAAAAAAATATCCACCATTTTTACGATAGAAAGTACATATATCTTCCTAATAAAAAGAAGGGATAATACATATATTGACCCCTAAATTTGGCTTCAAAT